TTAGTTTAGTGGTTATTATATCATATCATAACCACTAAACGAACTCTAAAGAAAACCAATTTTTAGCTTATATTCTTTTATTTTTATCCTTGAACAAAATTATTTATAAAATAAAGTTATATATGGTTTTCTTTAGAGTTCGTTTAGTGGTTATGATATGATATAATAAAATAGGATAATATATGAAAACATTTCCTTCAATTATATTCAATATTTGATATACATTAGATAATAAATTATATAATATTATTATGTTACCGTGAAATGGATAATGCTAAGATAAAAATTTTATTCGTATGAAAAATTGTTATTTTATTAAAATTACATATATTTTTTTTATAAAAGTAACTTTTAATTATTTTTATTTTTTTTACAATTATAAAAATTACAAAAAAGCTCCTAAAATATATAACTTTAAATTAATTCTACAAAATTGTATTTATTTATTTATTGTTAATTTTATTAAGATTATAAAAATATATAACACGCTTTTTAAATTAAAATATTTTTCAAATATTTTTAAAGTAATTTTTAGCATTTTAACTAGTAAAATATTTTAAATTTATATTTCAAAATAGTGTGTATGTGAATGTGTGAGTGCACATAGGTAATATTGACCTTTTAAATAAGGTCTCGGATAAAATAAATGTGATGGGTAGGAAAGACTTCCATTAAGGGTCTATTTGGTTTAAAGAAAAAGTGTTAAAATTCAGAATCATCAAGAAGGAAGGTTGAATTGGTGTTCAAAAATTTTAAAGTACAACGTAAACTTTTTTTTTTTTTCCTTTTTCTTATGTTTTGAAAAATAAAATCTTCAAATATGATTCTTGAAAAGATTATCTTGACCTTTTGAAATGGTTAAGTCATATTGATGAATAAAAGGTCAATCAATGTAATTTAGAGTTCAAAAGATCATTCAAACAAGATTTCAAGACTTAATAAGCAATATCAAAAAATCACAAGATATAGAGCTAAAAGAAAAAAAAGAATCACACAAGAATTTATCCTATACCAGTCATTAAAGAGCGATTCTCATGGAGACCATCAACAAGCACTCCTCAACTCATCATTCCATACTAAGAGTTTAAGGATCTTTCATTGAGGATCAACTTAATAGAAGCAATGGCAAGTCCAAAGTGAACTATATGGATCTTGAAGTAAAAAATGCTTAGTTAAGAAGTGTCCATCATGGTTCCTTACCTTTTCTCCCCTCGACTCTAGGTATTGTGTGTTTGATGAAGAGCTACACATTATAAGTTAGAGTACATGCTTGTTCATCAAGATTCAACACAACTTCTCTCCCCCCCTCTATACCAATGATAACATTTGGATAGGGATCTAACCAAACTGCATTTGTCCCAAGTTACCCTTCTTAGATCTAAACAAAAGGAAGGATGAAATGCCTATCATAAGCACCATGTCTTATCCTACTAAGGTTAAACTGTGCAGTTTTCCAGTGATGATCACTAAGGCTTATAGGCTGAAGATGTACGATAGGGAGTATGCAAAGCTCAATGTTCAGAAGTTCTACTTGCAACATATGTTCCAATCTTCTAAGCTTACATCATCTAGTAGCTCTTAAACGAGGAGAAAAATACTACCCACCTTGTTTGACAAGCAAGCAAAACATCTAGTTTATATTGTCAACTTTAGTGACATTTCCACCGCTTTCATCTAGAAGAACACAAAAGTAATCTTGGGAGATGAGACTATATTTTGTATGCTATTGTCTCTACCCTCTATGATCTCTCTAATCAAGGCTTTGGTTGGAAAACAAATCTTTCCAAGCTACCCAAGCCAAAGATTCTTTATTGGCTTATCACACTAGAAGAGTATGTAGAAATGACCTTCATTTGATGAAACTAGTGGAAGAGAGGCTTGGTGTTTCTCTTCAACTGGTAAGGTGAAAAAGGTGTGACTAGATATCAACATCCTAGATCTAGAATAGCCAATGAGACCATGTCACATGGTAAGGTGTTAAAAGTGTGACTAGATGTGACACATGTGACTTGTTGGAGCTTAAATGAACCATGAGAGGTGTGGTCTACCAAGTGGACATCCAACTAGGAGTTTCCACACCCCCTAACCTCTCATGGGTGATTCAAGTCCAATAAGCTCATATCTCATTTTCTAGTTGCACTCCCTAAAATACTATTTACATCCCTAAAATGAAAGTTACAAGAAAATAAATTCCTATACTATTTGATCCAAAAATATAAGGTCAAAATTAAGAAAATATTTACAAAGGAAAAATATTTACAAATAAGAGAAAGTTGACTACTAAAAGTGACTCAAAACTTAATAAAAGTTTGGACCTTCTTCTTTTAAGCTTAGTCCATTCCTCTTAGCTCCTTTTGGACTTGGCCCTTTGACATGATGTCATCATTCTTTTCTCTTCCAGAGGATTTGCATCAAATCATAAGCATCTTATTCTTCTTTAATACCTACAAAAGAAATTAAGTTACAAGTATTAGAAGTGTTGTTTTCTTTATGATCAAAGAGGCCTAACCTATTAATCCTCTCTAAGTGTGGGATTGACCTATCTGTAAGGATTGTGTTTTTAGGTCCTTTTGAACTCCTTTTATTCTATCTAAACTCAAACTAAATTCTCTTATTTTTTAAATGAGATGTTTTACTAACATCTAAAAAAGACTTGCCTTGGGTATCCTATTGATCACCTAGGCTCCTAGAAATTAAACTATCTACAACTAAATTTCCTTGCCTTCCTAAGAATTGGGGAGATCTAAAGCCACCACAACTAAGAAAACTTCTTAGAAACAAAGGGTTGTCCCCAGGATTGGAAGGCTTGGAAAAGAGTATGAAACCCTTTCTTATAGGTGGGGTAGTTGAGAGTAACACCAAAATAAGTTATCTTTAAACCATAATATTACGATGACTTAGACCATATGCATTGGAGAGCTCATTTTGTGAGGGTTGAAAAGTCTACTTAAGCTTTCCATCCCAAAAGGAAGGAAGAATGTTCTTCACCAACTTATTAAGGGATGGAACAATGGATTGTTCAAGATAGAGAGTCCTTTTGATTTCACTTTTAATATAAAAATGACTCTCTTTCTTAAGAAACTTTTTAGAAGAAACATTTTCCTCTATGAAGAAAAAAAAGACACTAGAAAAGGGGAGGTTGAATAGTGTCAATCAAAAAGTCACACTTTCGAAAATAGTGAAGTAGTAACTTTACAAAGAAATGCAAACGAAGAGTTAAGAAATTAAACAATATTCGCACATGTGAGAAGCACAACCAATACTTTTGCTAGTGCCAAAAAGAGGAATAGAAATTGTGTTTTTGAACATTTTTTTTTTATGATTTGCTATGATTTTATTGTTTTTGTTTCTACTATAATGATATACTCTAATATAATACTTTTTAGATCATGCATG